TTTCTTTCTTTCTTTCTTTCTTTCTTTCTTTCTTTCTTTCTTTCTTTTCTTTCCTTCTTTCCTTCCTTCCTTCCTTCCTTCCTTCCTTCCTTCCTTCCTTCCTTCCTTCCTTCCTTCCTTCCTTTCCTTTCCTTTCCTTTCCTTTCCTTTCCTTTCCTTTCCTTTCTCTTGCTTACCTGTCTTATGGTGGTCAGAACTGAATGCAGCTTTCTAAGTTGTGGCCTCAATAGCCAGTGTGTCATTGTTACTATTACTTCTTATGATATTTCACTATAATGATAGTGACTCTGCTGGCTCATACTTAATGGTGGTCCACTAAGACACCTGCATCCTTTTCACAATTATTACTGTTGAGTCAGGTACCACTAATTCTATACCTTTGCATTTGATTTTTCCTGCCTAAGTGCAGGACCTTATTTTTCTCACCACTGAATTCCATCTTGCTGCATCTTGTTGGATGGTGTAGTTCTACAACTTGTGAAATGTTACAGCCTGATATTAACAAGTTCAGGACTTCTAGTCCAGCAGTTGCCCACCGGTGGGCCATGAGAAAATTTTGGTGAGCTGCAGAGAAATCTCACCCCTAGAGCACCCCCCCCAAAGCAATTAATCCAGGCTGTGCAGAAAAACACAAGGCTGCACTGCTCACATGGCACGCGGGAACCTTCCCCGCCCACTCACTCTTTACCCAGAAAACTTGCCTGCTAAATTGCTATTTGTCCAACCATCAGCTGTTCTGCTATGCTGGGAGATTTAGATTAGCTAGGAAGCAGGAAATGGTTGGATTTCTTGCTTTCTAGCTAGTCTTTAGACCTTCAGCTCTGCTTTTAAGCACAGCCTAACCTCCCTTATGACTGAAGATTCTATTATTCAGTGCAGACTCACGCCAAGCAAATTTTATGTGACAGACTGAGCTAGCCAATGGCAGATAGATAGATCACTGAATGATTCTGTGAGCAACTCAATCTGCCTGCCTGCTTTGCCTGATTTTGAGTAAAAGTAGCCCTTTATATATTAAATATTCAATATTAACATACATGGTGTATTGTGAGTTAATTTTGTGAGTTTGCTTGCAAGTAAATTTTATGTGACAGACTAAGCTAGCTGGTGGCAGGTAGATAGATATCTGAATGAATCTGTGATTCTGTGAGCAACTCAATCTGCCTGCCTGCTTTGCCTGATTTTGGGTAAAAGTTGCTCTTTTTTAATAAAAAAATCAATATTTATATCAATATTTATAATATTTACTTACAAGCCATGCCCAGCCAGTCACGACCTCCAAGCCACACCCACAAATTAGGCCACACCCACATAATCAGTTAGTGGTCCCTGGGATTTAAAATTATGAGTTTGGTGGTCCCTGAGGTCCCAAAGGTTGGTGACCCCTGTTATATTCTGCAGTCTGTATTCCACTGTGATCAACCCAGCATCATAAGTTAATCAGAGATTAATTTAAAAGACAAACTAAGAATATGGAAGTACAGGTACCAGCTCTCTATTTAACACCAATCACTTAGCAACCATTCAGTGTTATGACAGATGCTGGAAAAGGGACAGCTCAGCTTCTGATATCAGTCCTCCTCCCACATAATGTGATAATGTAACCGAATTTCAGGCACTTGACAACTGGCCAGCATTTACTGCCATTTGGGTAACCGCGATTTATGACATTTTTGCCAGAAATCAGGTTTTGGCTATCCCTTCCCTGCGACCAATGGATTCACTTAATGACCATGGCATTTGCTTTACAACTACAGTGAAAAAAATAAAACTGGGTCCTGACAGGTGGTAACCTGTTTTATGACTGTCATAGCAAAAGAGGTCTGACTATAACAGGCAGCCTTATTGAGGTCCTGCTCAGATTCACTCATGCCTTGGTCACCTTCCATCTGGATTGCTCTACATAGGGCTATCCTTGAAGACTATTCAGAAACTTCCACTGATCCAGAATGCAGTAGTATACACAATAATTGGGGTGGGGGTATGTTTGTCCATGTAACATCTCTATTGTGTAAAATGCACTGGCTTCCTTCTTCTTCCCACCCCCAAGTGCAATTAAAAGTGCAAGTGATTCGTTTGAAAACCCAATATGATACAAGACCTGGCTATCTCAGGGACCACCATTCCATCCTATCAGATCTGGCAGGGTGTGCACACTCCTAGTCCCTTCCACTAAATATCCCTAAACTAAAATGGGAATGTTCACAACAGAAATTGAATAAAATGTCTTTAAAAATGAATACCCTACTTGAAAGTCTGTGGAATTCCCTGTGGGGAAAAAAATATGCCTCCACTCAAATAAGTATGTAACCAGGCAAGTCTCCTTCAATTTCCTGTTTGATTTTTCTCATTGAATTATGCTATAAAGCCGTATTTCTCAACCACGGCAACTTAGAGCTGGGTGAACTTCAACTCAGAATTCCACAGCCAACATTCAGACAGTCCATCTGACCCATCCTAAAGTTTATATGATATAAAGTTTAAGGTGTGTTGCCAATTATAAAAAGTATGTTAAAGTGCAGATGGAGAAAATAAGTGGATGATTGCTCCAGATTTCATGAATGATTGCTTTGGCCTGAATTGGAAATATCAGAACCTCCAGTGGCTTTAGGGCAGGGGTGTCCAACCTTGGCAACTTTAAGGTGTGTGGACTTCAACTCCCAGAATTCCCCA